CATGAGAAACCAATGTATTGCAATACAGTTTGACTGAAGTTTGTTATGCGTGTACGCACTACGCAGACAAGCCGAACAAAAATTTAGACATTCCCAAGCAGCCACATTCAATAGTCTGACAGCCCCCGGTCTCAAACGATAGATGGATTTTGGATAACCTCCGAGACCGGCGACTTGGTCGAACAAAGTACATGCGATGGCGGGTGTCTTGCTGGCTCCTACGTTATCCGGTAGAGACTTCCAAGAGGAAGATACAGCCAATACAAAGGTCCGCCTGATTACCCGCCCAATTAAGGAGGAGGAAAAGTAGGTGCTGTGTCCACTGAAGTCATGAGCGATCAATGGCAGGTAATCGGATCTTAGTGGTCAATACAGGGTGGGTAGATCTGGCTCGCACGTTATTAGCAAATTTGCTCCGTTATTATGCCCAGTTCATATCACTTTAGGTTGTAAATGGTGGCCAGGGATTGGGAATGATGACAGTGAAGTCTAGTGGTGCGAGCCTCTTGAACCAAGAAGCAGCAATACCTAGCTAGTTATGTGAAGGAGCCAGGATTGAATCAGAGGCGGCATTTTTGTCTCAGTTGCTGATCTGCCTAGGTCGAAGTTTTCTGTGGAGAAGATCTGGCTTCAATCCAATCATAGAAGGAGGAAAGAAAATCCCTTGGATCGTTGAAAATCCATTCTGGAGCCACTTATGGAGAGTGTGATGATGTAGAGAAGAATAGATTTTATTCTTCTGGGTTCCTGCACTGTACTTTTGCTCCAGCCGCGTATTTGTAGCCCATTTTCTCCCCAGGCTCCATATGTGCCTAGTGGCCAAATGTATGTTTTATGTACTATGTATCATCGACTGTGCTCCGTACAGCGGTGCAGCAAACTTTGGGTAGTGATCACCGGGGTAGCTAGGTAAGTGGCGTAGATGGGGAGTCGATGCATTTCTGAAAAGGATGACAGGAAGGAATTGGAAGGGGGGAGTTGTGAGTCGATCATAGTGGGGTTGATGAGGATAAACCGGCAACTCTGATTATCTAACGCCAGCTGAGGGGCGGAACCGCCCAAAGAAGAAAAGTACGTTATGGTGTGGTTTGAAATGTACTCCCGGTCGCTGTATGGAGTATGTTATGTCCATACATACTCTTACACCATTACTCATTGAAAGATCGGATACCATACAGTCAAAAGTAGCCTCGGGTATTGTATTTAAATGGATCAACGAGGAACAACCTAGAAGGCGATCGCGTGTGCTAGAGCAATTGTGTCGAGATATTCTAATAATAATCAGGGATCGGGTAATAATGCGAACTGGCGACCTTCAGGGCCATGCATAAGACCCGGAATCCGCAGCAGGAGGGGTAAGCTCAAGATAGCTCTCGTATCGTGCGCACTAAGCATTCTTCAGCTTCTCCTCAAGGCATTCCAACGGTGAAGGACGAAGTTCTGACCCTCAGCAGGAGGCCCTTTGTATGATATCGATCTCTGAGGGTACACTTTTTCGGCCGGGAGGAACAACCCAGCAGCAATACATGCAACCACTGCAGAGGGAGTAGATAAATTGAAATGTCATAGTTAGATAGCTAATAATTACTCCGGACTATACTAACCGACTAGTTAACTAGGTAAAACTGATTGACCTAATTTAAATCCCGGAGCAAGCCAGATTTGATTGATTGAACCTTGGAAATCTTGGGCGACATACGGGGGAAACAGAGTAGTTGTTCCGGCTTTGTAGTAAGATTTCTGGGACGACTAGCTGTTTTAACTTTCGTTCCTTTTAATCTCTCGGAATCCTGACTAATTATTATCGATGCTGCTCCTGTCTTCTACCCCGGTCACCTACGTGTCGATTCAAGTTTGATTTCATGATGATCGGCTCAGTGAACTGGAGTCAGTCATCCCACTACTGACGAGCCTGGGTCTTGTCGTCTTGTACTGGCGTGGACAATACCAATACGGCGCAGATGCTTACTTACATACCGTCATACATACTGTCATACTTTGCCCAGCGATAATCTTTCATTTTCCTTTGCTTTTTGCCCTCTTTGCCAACGGAGTGCCTTCCATGAGTTTGCATTAAGCTACACAGTGCTTGCACGGTGTGGGCTTCTTACTTGTCTCGGGGAAGTGTGTAGTCGTAGTGCATCATGACCAAATTCTTTGCCATTCTACCTACATCCTCTGTTTCGCCCCCAAGCTGCGCCTGAGGTACCCCTTTGCGTCACTTGATCCCCTCGGCTAGCATCAACCCCCACCGAGAACTAGGATGTAGGCAGGCAGACTCTTGGAGGGGAGGAATGTGTGTGAGTTGTAGACTAGTAGATGGTAAGCAGGCAGCCTTGGGAAGTGGGTGGAAACAAGACGTAGGCATACATCGGGCGAGTAAGGGACTCCGTACGTGCGTTGCCTTTTTCCCACGACCAGCAGCAGTATGATGATTGCTGCATGGCATCCACACCCATGACGCAACCACGTGACGGGCTGGGAACCGTGACTTGGGCGCCTTTTACCTGGACGACTCGTCGCCCGACAAGCCTTCCCCTCCGAAGGACTGCCTGCCCGCGACTCTCTCGCTCTGCTCTCTTTCTCTCTCTCTTCTCTCTCTTTCCCTCTCTTTTCCTCTTTTCATATTTCTGTGCTTTGCCGGCGCCTTCTGCTCGCTCTCTTTGCAAAATCTCCCTCTCTACTTTTAGTTCTGGGACCTGAGTGGGCTTCCCTGGTCGAAACGGCCTTTTCCCAATCACAACCAGCTCAAGCCAGCAGCCCACCTCTCCCTTCCCACGCCGCCCCCCCCTCAAAGGGTTGGTTTCCTATCGTCTGCCGTCCCTCCTCTCCCTAGACGCAGAGAGCAAGGAATTAAAAAAAAAAAAAAAAGACATAATTTTTTTCTTCTTTAGCCAAGTAATATTTTTTTTTCTCTCTTATTTAAAAAAAAGTTTTTTTTTCCAGGAACAAAAACTTCCGAGGGAGAGGGGAGAGCCAAAGAGGAAAATACTAAAACGGGAACTCCAACCAGGGAAGAAAAAAAGGGAAAAAAAAAAGGAAATTTCCATCAGCAAAGCAAAGCAGCAAAAGCAGCAACATCGTCGTCGCTGTCGTTATCGTCAAGCCAGAACTCTTCTCTCCTTAATCCTATCCCAGATCTCGTTCACGCCGGTTGTCACGATCTCAACGACTCCATCCATGCTCTGAGGTCTGCTTGTTTCGTCTCGTCCACCCAACGTATGTTTTAATTCCGAAGTTCTTTCCTTACTTTTCGAACCCCAATCCACTCACTCACTCACTCCCTCACCCCTCCCCTCACTCGCTGTCTTTCCCTCTTCTTCCCTTTCCCTCTCTCTCTTTCCCTCCCTCACACTCGTTCCCTTAAACGACCCTCTTACTCAACTCACCACCACCACCACTACCACTACCACTTCCACCACCACTTCCCTCTCACTCCATCTCCGCTACTTTCCCACCAACGCCCTATCTTAGGTGCTTTTCTCTACCCACCCCCCGCCCTCAATTTTGTTTTTCTCTCCCCTTTTACACAACAACTTTGTTCTTATCTCCTACCATACCATCTCCTTTTCTTACTCTTTCGCTTTATTCCCCCATTTTGTCTTTTTATATCATCTTTCCGAGTTCCCGGTTTTATTTCCGGTTCTTTGAACTCCTGTTCATTTCCATTCCCTTCCCCCCTCCCTATTTTGACCTCGCACATCCACCAACCAACCAACCACCCCCCCCTCCTCATCCCTCCTTCCTCTCACCTTGACTACTACCACCCCCACTCTTTCCCCTCTTCGCCTCACCATCCCCCCTCCTGCTGTCGCAAAGGAATACCTGAGTGGAAGAGAGATATATCAACCTCTCCATGAGTGGAATCGAATATTGTTGTTGACTCGTCTGGAAAAAGGCAGAGCGATGATTAGCCTCAGGGTGGAACAGCACTCAGAATCTCCGAGATCCCGTCAAGACCATCTTTCCCGTGGAAACGACGATACCAGAGCCTACGACGGCAATGCCGATTGCCAGTGAGAGTACCACCGTCAACTCCGTTACTACCACCATGACAACTTTTTCCGCCCCGGTCACCGCACCTAGATCGATGCCCAACAATCAGTCTGCGTTGGCGGCATCCTTCACCAATTTCCTCACCGTATCAATACACCAGATCCTGTTTTTACGTTCGGTCTATCCACGAGCCACGTTCCTCCCCGTGCGGGCGTACAACTATCCCGTCCGACAATCCCGTCACCCCAAGGTGTGTGATTACATCAATGACGCGTCAATTGCGGTCGGAACGGAGATCTTGAAAGGCACAATAACCGCTGTCAGCATTATCATCTCCTCCCTCCGTACGAATCAACCTCTCGAACGATATGCCTTTGATTTATCGGGCTTCCCCCGTGTTCCGGCTGGCGAAGTCAATACCACCTTCGAAGACAGAAGGGAGGAACAAACCAAAGCGGGTGTTCCCGTAACCGACCGGGCTTCCGCCCCCACATCAGTCGACCTCGAAGCGCAATTTAGGGCCTGTCTAGCAAGACTGGCTTCAGCTTGTGCGCGCCTGACTCCCTTGCCTCGGGACGATGAATTCAGTTTCACCGTCTGCATCGAGGTGCGGGAAGATGCTTTACCCCCGGCGGGGACCACAACCGAAGAACAGACATGGATTGTGGCCGAACCGGATAAGGTCCACCTCCGATCGTGCACCGCCCCTTACTCCGTTTCTAAGTTGAGAAACGGCGAGCCGCAACAGCCGCCTCCCAAGGTATCGAATGGACGTGCCAAGACGGTCCCGGTACGACGTGTAGAAGCTGGAGAGCTTCGCCTGGAACTATGGGTGGAAGAGGCACGGCAGAAGTTTAATGAACCGGTGGACTCTGAACATCCACCATGAGCTGCGGATCTCTATCTTATAGCTTGCTGCCGTGTTCGTCTAGTTCACCATTACTTTCTGATTTCAGTGAAACATTTTCTGCTCCTTATCTCATATCTCCATTTTATCTCATTCTTGTTTTAGCGTGACCAATGATCGAACATACATGATGGATGAGGAAATTAGGCACTGTCGTCCGAGTGAGCGGCGCAAATATATAAAATGGGGAGCGGACGATTTCTGGGACTCGCATGGCATTACATAGATCTGGTTCATATCTTTCCTTGTCTTTTTGCTCGCAATTTCTTTCCGTCCATTTCTGCCTGTCGTCATTCTGTCACGTTCCTTTTCCCCTTCTATTTCTCTTCTCTATTACTACTTATATCTCTCTTCTTTTCTTTTTTCTTCTCCTTGCCCCTTTTCCTTTTTTTCTTTTACCTCCAAATTTTCTCATCTCTGGAGACGTCTCTATTTCTTTTTCCAAAGCATTCTCCATTCTCCTCCCCGCCATTTCCACGGAGTGTTCTCATTTTCATACCATTTCCTATTGTATTCCGCTCGTCTCCTTTGTTGAGCTCTCTCTCCAACTACATGATCCTAGCAAATTCAAATATCTAGCAACTAGCTGCCAAAAAGTTGCCAGCATGGTCCCCACTGCTCGGGGAGGGTCTCGAGTCCTGTCCGTAATCGTTAATTTGTCCCCATCGCATTTCTTTTGGCATATCCTTGTTTCTCTCGGCGTGTGTGTGTGTGTGTGTGTGTGTGTGTGTGTGCTTGCCTCTGTTCTACCTTCGCGTCGCTCTGACTGTCGTGCCCATCTTGGAAATGTGATCCAGTGAAAGGGATCTTGGCACCATTTAGCTGCATAAAGTCACGAAACCAGCTGATAATGGGATACAGGCGTCCACAGTGTGTCAGTATCACTGAAATCCATATCGCCTTATATGGAAGCAAAATCAAAGCTGAGTTACGGAAACCGACAGACACACACAGCTGCTGCTATTCGAGAAAACTGGGGTGTCTAATACAATTGGTTGTGCTTATCCATGAGGTTGTCTGATCGATTGGCTATGGAAAAAGAACGCAGATGATCCATCTGTATGGAAGGAAACTTTAGAAAAAAAGAGGAGGAAGAAGAATGGTTCCTAACGCATCATGTGAGTTATTATTTTTCACCTGTATATTGTGGCATATATGCGTGTCGGTCATGTGCTATGCTGCCTATCCTGTGAAAGTCTTGTCTGGTTCTCTTTGGATTTCCATGAAACACGGCTTTCGTGGTTGCCTTTTTGACTCGTTGTCAGCGCTTGTTGTTGGGCTCGGTTTTCCATCTTATCACCATCGCCTACATTGCTTTTTTCATTTTTCTCCTTTGGTGCCGTTACTTTGCGTCCTCATGACTGATAAGATGTGATGTTATGGATATGAGATAGTGATGAGTAGTAGACTAGGCCGGGCACTCGGTAGGCAGATAGGTAGGAAGTTCCTTTTTATTATCTCAATCTCTATAGTAATACTTTTCTCGATTTCATATTTGATGCACACTTCTGCTGTTTTTATGTTGCCGCCGTATCGTCTTTATGGTCCGTTCCAGCGCGTTCCGTAGTCATATGATCCCTCTTCATGCAGCAGTCCGTCGCTGGAATTTATTTTTGAACAAAGATTAATAGGTTGGATTTCATCTCGCTACAGCTTTATACTAGTTCCCAGGCCATATAGGCCATGTCACGTGATACTACATATGGTATCCATCATACACATATCCTACAGATTTTCAGCTGATTACTACCCCGCCAGTTTCTTGCATGTACTATTACCCAAGATGTCCAGGACATGTGATCTCTGATTTGTCATGACTGGATTTTCTCAAAACGATTTATCGATCTATGGAGATACTGTGATTATAGAAGAGCTGGGTTATATTGATGACTACTTTAAGAAGTAGGTGAAGAGAGAAGAGTAATAATCAAGTCGTTGATTTATTGAATTATGCCAAAATGAGAATCAGATATCCATTCTAAGTTACCTTAGCCAAGAGAAAGGGAAGATTAGAGATGATAGAGAAGGAAATAATAGGGAATCAAAGAAGGATGGATGAGGTAGGGGGGCGGGGGATGTGTTGATGGAGATAGATGCTAGGAGAATCGCTTCAGTGGTGCAATAATTAGAGTGATGGATCCAAGACCTGTGATGCATTCCAACATCCAAGAAAGCGTTCTATGAATAACTGGGCACTGCTTGTCTGTCTTGTCTTCTTGTTCGGATGAAGCAGGGGTATGATCACAAAAGATACGGGGACGGGTTAGACGCTGGATTTGATGTAAAGATAGCAAGCAGAAACTGTGTTGGGAAAAAGGGAGGGAAGTCGGTATACCAAGATGGGAGCTGCAGTATCGACACGTGTCGATCCAGGGTATGGTGTGTCGCTTGTTCTAGACTGAAACGAGGTGCAAAGGCCTAGCGGAGCAAATGATCGTCCATCAAGATCGTCGATCAAGAAATAGGTAGGCGCCAGACGGATTCATGTTGATACCACTAGTATCGCCATGGGGGTCTGGTATCTACCCTTCTCGCCGGATCTTGAAGAGGATTGCCCCGATTGTTCGCACCCCTATGTACGACGTTTGTAGGCACAGGGTGTCCTGGTGGGTTCCTAGGTTGTCCTAATGGGTTCTGAAGCCAGCCTTGTCCACCCCAGCCATTATCGTTGCCAAAGGGTGCATTGACTCGGTGAGCAACAGCTGGGGGGTTGGCTCTTCCTACTGGGATAGCTGGCCCTGGATACACCACATGATTGGGATGGATTGGCGCTTGCCCTAAATGGCGTATGAGTCCATTATTATGACCTTGAAGGACGTGCGACATTTTTGCGGCCGAGTCTTTTGCGTCATGGACTCGCAGCTCCTCCTCCTTTAATTCGGGATCTTGTGCCAATAAACTATCGATAGTGTCTTTTTGAGCTTTCTCAATCTCTTGTAACGAGCGTAATGCTGGATTGTCATGGAGGGGACAATAGGTCGGAGGACGCTCGAAATGCTCGTACAACTCTCGGGTAATATCTCGTCTGCAAACGTAGCACATTGCAGTCCGGCATTTGGAGCAAACCATCCTGTTGCAGCCCATGTCCTTGACAATCTTCACTTTGCATTTGGGGCAAGGGCGGATTAGAGCCTCGCTCATTGCCTCTTCGACTAAGTGACGTTGAGGAAGATTCTTCTCTTTATTGGCTTCTGCGCAAGTGCGCGGGATATGGCTTTCCTGCTGGCAGAGACGACAACTGACTATTTCGCAGTCAGGGTTTTTGCATACGAACTCTCGGTCCTCTTCCACCGGCGGATAGATGGCTTTAAATTCACAGAACGGACAAGCCTCAAGGCCTTCCAGCTCAGCTTGCTGGATCTCATCTTGCTGCTGAAGGCGGTCGAGCTTTTCCATCAAACTCTCGCCGATAGCTTCTTGTAGCCGCGCGCGAGAAAACTTTGCCTGACAGCCACTAGTATCGACACATTGGACTTGATATCTCATAAGCCCAATCTGAGTCTCCGTAGACTTTCGAATGCACGCGAAGCAGAAGAGATGGACGTTATCACCCTCACAAGGAAGTGATCGGTTCGCTGGAACATCGAGGTAGCAACACTGGCATTCGATGAGGTTCCCAGCTCGGCTGTGTTCTTCTTCGTTTTTGATCTCGGCTTCTTGCTTTTCCTTCTTTTTGCGAAGGGCATCTTTGCAGGAGAGTGATGATCAGTATGTATCCCTTGTTATCAGAGAGAAATCACTTACCGTCCTCCTTTTCAGCTTTTTTCTTGGCGGCTCCTAGTTCGCGAGCCAAGTTCTCAGCAATAGGTGTCTTATCATCTTTGCCCAGATTCGGTACATTCGAGAACCTTTTACTTTTCAGCTTCGTGTACTTTCCCGTCTGTTCATTCTCTTGAGAATGCAGAGTGAGATACGCGGCAAAGAGCTCTTTTTTCTCTTCCAGAACATCCCGAATATGTTTCATCGGCATCCACCCAAATTCTTGGGCTAACAAATTGGTTCTAAAGTAGAAGGTCAGTGTTTCGGATTTCATGATTATAGGCGGTGCACTTACGCTAGTTGGAGGTATGCACGACTACCTCGTTCTGGTATATCTCGCAAATACCGTATCGTAGCTTCCTCGTCTGTGTCCTCAATCTTACGTTTCTTGGCCTTTTCCTGCTTAGGATAGCTGGGATGCCGTAAGATATCTTCAATAACACTTTCCTTCAATGAATCTAGGGGCGGCGCAGGTTGGTGCTCTTGAGGCTTCTTATGAAGTTCGATCAGCTCTTCCACATGCTGGTGACTGATGCCCGGAAAGATGTCTGTGATCTGCCACAATAATTCATCGTCCAAAGTGAGATCGATGTACACTGCTTCAGAGTGCGTATTGGAGCGTGATGCGGCTGACGTGGTGGCCATGGTCGATGATGAGAGCGATTTTGTCGATGGGCGCAAGGAGGCCCCTGACTTGATCCCTGACCCAAGACGATTGTTATCATCACTATCACTGTCCAGGATGTTGATTATGGATTCATGACTGTTGTCGCTGCTGCGACTGCTGCCGTGACTAATCTGCCTTTGTTTCTTCATTGGTTGGTCATAGTCAGGCAAAGGATAGAAACCGTGGTCGTATAAATCCCAAAGCAGCGCAGGGTTGTCATCCAGAGTGAGATCTGCATTTGCATGGTCCATATAACCCATTCTTATAGGAAGAGCAGAATACAAGGGATTGGTGAAATTGGGCCCCTCCATTGTTCTTGTTGCTTTGAACGAACAGAAAAAGCGTTATATTCCTACGTTTGAAAGTTTCTGAAACGGAATCCAAGGTGAACCAAAGGATCAGAGCTGATAACAAAAGTAAAATGAAATTGAGGGCCCGCTAATTAGCTGTGGTTGGTTTTTATTTGGGGGAAGGTAATAGTGGTGAAGATGTTAAATGAAGCGTTGCCTGGAGAGGCAGACCCCGCAATAGTTGAGGAACGTCGGCAACGGCCGTATATCGCTCGGGGCAGTGAAAGTAACGTGATGAGGCTATCTATGCTCTATCAGTCTGAAGGGCGTGCGGCTGTTTGCAGAGCAATAAGCGTACAGCCAAGGCGAGCTTAGCTTATTGTCTTGTGCACACCTGACAAGCATGAATGGATGATACACAAAGGCTGTCAGTGAGAACCTACTCGAGTGAGGATCAGGCTCGTCTGAGGCAACCACCCAAGCAAGGCTGAGGAAACCAACCCACAGCCTCTGAGTGTTTGTAAGGCGCTATCCTGCTACCAGGTCGCTAAATTTTGTATAGGGAATATTGGTGAATGGAGAGATATTGTCTAGCGGTTGATCATCCGAATGCCTGGTCACCCAACGGGGAATAGTATCAACAGGCCCAAGGTTGGCACACACAGTGGGGCAGAAGTCCGTCAACAATGCTGGGGGAAAATCCTATCTACAACGGGGGTAGTTCCGTTGTAAGCCGTAGACTAAGACACCGATCAGGCAAGTAAATGGAGGAGGCGTCCCTCAGCCCGGGACGCTAGACGGAGAAATAAGAAAGCAGCCGCCACCATCCAGACGGAACAGCAGCAATTGCGAGAGACTGAACGGGGATTCCTCGAGTGGGAGAGATGGTTGGGGGGATCCAGAGAACAAACCCCCGCCGGGTCTGACAGCTGCCCCACGTGACAGGTACCGGTACTCTCCGACCGCCTGCCCAGTAGGGGAACTGTCTTGTCTGTCAATTGCCTACAAAGGGGGGAAAGTCAAACAATATGACTGACTCATCACGGGCATTCAACAGAACTACAAAGTTAATACCAAGTTCCGGGCAGTTTGATCATTCCTAGACAACTCGATCCAAAATAGATTGTAGCCCAGTATATTCCACGGCGTCATTTCTATCTAACCCCGGTAGTCCCCGAACCCCAGACCAGATTTCCCCCCATTCCGGCGAGCCCTATGCCCTAAGGAATTGTGTGGTCATCATGCGCCGCTCGACGTCACGGGGCATGAGACGCAACCCAATCCAGGCAAGTCCATCCCTCAGCTTCTTTTACCGCTGCGCTTGTCGCCGCTTGTCGTCGGCTGTCGGGGCGAATAGAATCAGCTGCCTGCGCGTCCAGTAAGTTATCCCGGGCACGTCTACTTTCTTATCCTTATCGGTTCATCTATTATATTCGGTGCCCCCCTTGCGGTCTTGCGCGGACTCCGGTCAAACACCTTCGGAGTTGCTCCTTTGCTCTAAACATTTGCTTTCTCTGAACGCGCCGTGTAGTCCTTTCACCACTTCTCTTCACTGGAATCGCTTTCACCCTCATACCCAAGTTCCTTCATCAGACAACAAGAACGAACCCCTCTTTCCTACCAAGTAGACATCAATCATGATCGCTGCTGACAACTCCTATTTCAACGGCAAGGAGCTCCCTCAAGGGGACTCCCCTGACCTGGTGCTGGTTCCTGCCACCCCCGGGGAGCGGATTGAGTCCATCCGTCTCAACAGCAGAGCATGGAAGGGCCGTCTGGACCTTGAGACGTATATCACGCGCGAAAACCATCTGTATCAGCAACGGCTGAATAAGGATGGCTTGACCTGTTGGATCTTGGTTGATCGCAGAGAGCCAGAAGAGCATAGAATGATCCTCGGTTCTTGCGAAACATACCGAAAGAAAGCCATGTTGGCACATGACGGTATTGTGGAGGACGTCGCAACTCATGGTATTGGAAGTGTCTATTGTCGGCCGGATTTCAGAGGCAAAGGATACGCCAAGAGAATGATGCAGGAGCTGAGCGAGAAGATCGAGACTTGGAAGATGGAGACAGAGACTCGAAAGTGTTGCCTTTTCACAGTTCTCTTTTCTGATATCGGAAAGGACTTTTATGCTCAATTTGGTTGGCAGCCATACACGTCATGCCATTTTGCCTTGCCGCCCATTTCCGAGGAAGTCTATGCCACTGCCAATGCTCAGGCAAATTTCCCGAAAACAAGGATTTTGACACCAGAGGACGTCCACGAGAGCATTTGCAGTGAGGAGGTCTTGCAAAAAGAGCGTGAACTGTTGAGGGTGGCCTCTCAAAAGTCATCAGTGCCCAGAATTGCGATTGCACCGAACTTCGAGCACTTTGAATGGCACTGGGCAAGAGAAGAATTCTATGCGGAGAGGTTATATACCGACCGCGAATTGCCTCGCGCAAAGGGTGCTGGAGAAGACAGTGCCGGGGTGTACTGTGCCTGGAACAGGAACTTTGGTGAAACGCCCGAGGAGAATACTCTGTACATTCTCCGATGGGTGTACGACGAGCCCACCTCACCAGAACAGGGCGAAAAGGTTGTGAAAGCCATGGCGGCGGTCCTGCGACGTGCTCAGCTCGAAGCGTGCAGATGGAACATGGCAACAGTTGAGTTCTGGAACCCAACGCCACTATTGAAAAAGGCAGTTGCCTTGCTGGACCCCAAGGCCGAAGTAGTTCACCGGGAGAAGAGCAGCATCGCGTGCCTGAGATGGACTGGTGCCGACCACGGCTTGGGTGCAAATGTGGAATGGCACTTGAACGAGAAATACGCTTGGTGCTGAGAGACACCTCCTTCCACCCTGATAAACATCATAATGCCTCTAGAATTAGAGCCTCAACGCTTCTGTCGCTTCTGGTTCTTGAATAATTCATGCCAGTTTCTCGTCTTTTTCGCAGCGGTAGACGCACTAGCATCTGTCGAGAGATTCTTCTTTAGTTTCTGCCGATCTTCATCACTGACAAAGCAGACAGTCGTTGGATCGGGGAATCTATGCTTGTCCTCCTGTACACACTGTTAGAGTAGAGCAAGAAAGACAAAGAAAAATATCCTACCGTAAGCTTCGCAAACGTAGCTTCCTCCCTCCAGCCTTCTGGCAGATGATCCTTCCAAGCGTTGAGAAATTCGCTACGTCCAACAGCAGCAGCCGCCGTAGGCGCCGCAGCCTCTAAATAGGTTTCACCAACCCATCGCACGCACCGCTCCTTATCAATGCTAGCCCCTGCACCAGTAGATAAAAGAGTCAACTCCGGCCACTCAAATCCACGCCTTCCGGGATACAGGAAACTTACACTTTAGTTCCCCCTCCAACAACGACCCTTCATCACCAGTCTCATAAACCCTCCCTACAACCGCCTCAAACAACTCCCTCGGCCATTCGCCCTCCCCATCCTCATCAAGCATCGACTTCCACAAATCCCCTACCAGAAATTGCGTCCCCAAATCAATGCCCTGCAACACAGCCCCCTCAACCACCCGCTTCCACACCCCAACCTTGGCCCTCGCCGTCGGCACCCACCCACGACCCGTAGCAGGTAGCACAAACGCACAAATTTCCTTCCAGGCCCTCGCACATTGCAGTTTCGACACCGGAACATCAGCAAATAACTTCTCAACGATCCGTTTCCGGTCCGTAGAGTCTACCATCATCCCACCGTCCCTTGTAGACATGGAGATGTCGTCACTAGAGTCATACTTTCCCAGCAACCCCTCTAATATGGGGATAATATTGAACCCTTCCTGCGGGGTGTGTAGTTCAAGCGTGGACCCGCACTTCGCGATCGCAGTCATTGTCTCCGAGAGGTTCAGGTCGGGGACGGGCTCGTCGTTTTCCTGTGTGGCGCCGATGACGGCGAGGTCGCCGCGCTGAGCGCCATCGTCACTTGGGCGGAGGACATGCAGTGAGTTTGAGGACTGGACTTGGCGAATGCGGTAGGTATGGGTTGGGGTGCAGAGGTTGATGTAATCGCGGGTGGTGTCGGCGGGAGCGTCGGTGGAATCAGTGGTGGGTGTAGGGGATTTGATCTCAAGGCTGTCGGTTCAATTGGTTAGTTGGGCGTTCCTTGAATTGGGTGGAAGAAGGGGGTAGAGATTGGCCTCGAGTTGCTGTAGACGTACGTTGGAGGATTGTCGGAGGCAAGAAGTTCTGCGAGATCTGGTGGCAGTTCGAGTAATCGGAAGGCCTGTTGCGGGGCCGTGTGGGTGAAGAGGATGCTCTGGGCGGATTGTGTGGACATCTTTGACCTCAATGCCGTTCCAGGACAGAAGATAAGGACCTGTGGAAGGGTTGCAGTCGCTTAGATTATGTTCCCTTCCTGAGGATTGTAGATGTGCAGAGGAACATTCCGGGTGGGCTCTGGACGCGGTACGCGTGCTTTTCGAGATCGATGGATGCACGGGCCACCGCTTAATTTGCAAACGGCACTTGCCATGCGACTGATGTGGGAATCACAATGTAAATCTACATCATGAATATCTGCTTACGAAAAGCATCGCATTGGATGGCTAATATTTCACTTAATGTAAGAATTCATTGGTCTATGCTGTACATAATTAAAAGCTATCATCTCAGCCATAACAGAGATCAACAAGATTATGTGTTTCTTGTGTGATCAGACAATCAAGTAGAAGCAAAGGAAAGGAAAGCCATGTCAAATATAGTCCCCAACACCATTTACACAGTACAGGAGCCCATCCAGAAACAGTAGTTCCAGTCAAAGAAAGTCGCCCTGTGGCCAGCACAGCGCTGTATGGTCAGTCTATAGTGAGGTTTCCAGCGCCGTTGTTCGAGAAAACTCCCTGACCCAATTCTTGTGGCTCGTTTCGACTATCACTGAACCTCGAAGCTCCAAGCATCACTACTCTATTGCTTCGCCTGTTTTCTTTCTTTTGTTGACTCTTCCTGTGTGATCGCGGCACTTCCCTGCTCTTTCGCAGCGGGCTGGGCCACGGGACCTTCTGCGCTGCCTTTTGTACTATCGACATCCGACGATGACGAGTAGTCGCTCGCCTGGCTCTTCCCTTCCTTGTCGATGGCTTCTTGTATATTCGCAGTATCGTCCTCCCACTGCGACTTGGCGTCCTTGAACAGCGTTTGAACCCGCTCAGCACGCTCAGCCTGTTCTTGTTCTTCTCTCTCACGTTCCAGTCGCTCCTGCTCCATTTCCTCCATATGCTGGAGGTCATCCACACTCGGCTCGTAAAGATGCCAAATCGTGTAGTGCGGGAGGCCAATGACCGAAAATCCCATCCGTCTCGCCATCTGTTTAGAGTTAGTATATTACATATAGAATTACGAGCATAAAGTCTCACCTTTCCGAAACCTTCAGTCTCGGCATGCTTCTCGAAACTGAAGGCTGGGAAATGGACACCGGCCCGGAAGACACGGGCCTTTGCCAGAATACTGACGCCTCCCACACCATCAAGCTCCATCTCCATATCAGGGTCCCCGTACGGATCACGCAGATATGCGAGGTGAGGTCTCCACGTTGCATACTCGGCATAACCCTCCACAATGACTGCATCCTCGTCCAGAGTTTCGGCAAGGGCCAGCGCGGTTTCGGATTCCTGCCAGGAGTTCAAATCGTACGGTTGTTCCCCACCTAGCCAATCCGGCAGGGGACGCCAAACATCTATTCTCAAGGTTAGAACGCAACAGCAGAGGTCGCGCGTAGTACTTACTCGGAACGATAACATCCTTGTCATGTCTCATAAGGTCCTCCAAAATCGTAGTCGGAGCTGTCAAGACGTCTGCATCTCTCCAGTAGACCCAGCTATGCGTCGGACGCAGAGTCGCGCTAAGCAGCCAGTTCCGTGCCTGAGCCATCAACTTTCTGCGACTTGCCTGGGCGGCAAAACCGTGTCTACTCTCCACATCTTGTTGAACCTGTTGACCAAAATCCTTCTGGATGACCGAGATCTCTCCAAATGACATCTTCGGATCGGCGTCGTTTTGCAGATCATCCAGCATCGATGACAGCATTTCCATCGTGTCGTCTTCGGAATCCGAAACCAAAAATGCCAAATCAATCAGGTTATGAGGGTATGTAAGGTTGCGAAGATGCGAAAAGAACATCGGCAGATGAGATGCGGCGTCCCTCAAGGGCGTGCACATGAGGACCCGTTCTCCATGCTCCCAACCACTTCCACTGCCCTGCATCTTAGACAAATCATAGTATCGAACCGTTTCTAACTGTAGATCTTCCGCGGAGGAAACAAGGCCAAGCGAGACTGCGGGAAGGAATAACGCTCGAAATGAAGGGAAAATGAGGATCAACAGCAGCGTTGAGATGGCGGCAATCAGACACAGTCGTTGAAGGAGCTGTCTTCGACGTCGCAAAGCCGGTTGTGGGCGCGGTTGAAAGCTAGCAAACCAATGTCAGTCAAAACATCCTCCTGCACAACGAATTTGGGTGACTGATATGCCAGGCCACCGATTGGCCTTCAGCGAGATTGATTTCATGTGAAGGTAGTGTTGGTATGCGATGATCATCGACAGTTGCAGGGGCCGCTCACCGGTGGGGAGAGATAGAAAAGGTGTTGTGGCTGGCTTTGCCGCGAGGGTAGGCAGCATAGCCGTTCGAGAAGGCGTGATGCCGGTTCATCTCTCCTACAATTGCATGTAGCTAGGAAACAGGTCCTGAAGCAAAGAACCTCCGGGGCTCCTAGATCCCGGAGCGATGACCACCAGCTTCAAGAAACCCTGGAATGCGCTTACGGGGGGGAGTAAGAAAACAACACCGACGTGGGTACGGGCGACGAAGAATGTTAGCGGGATCGCAGATCCAGGAGATTAATAAAAAGGTACCGAAAAGGAGTCAAGGGACCGAACGAGCGTGAGAATTGAACAACGAAGTCTGACGGTAGCATTGATTGCGTCGACCGAACGTAGGCTCAAGGCGGCGACGAGCAAGAAGCGCCAAGCGTGGCCCGCCTTCCGGGTCCAGATCCGAATGCGGCATCAGGCCTACTACCGTTTGCAGCCATGCAACCTCCCTCTTGCTCGTCTCTCTCCTCTCTTACTCCACGTTTTTCTCGGTTCCATTATCTTCGGATCAGCTGCGGTGGTTATCCATCTTGATTGGCGGCTAATCGATCCTGTACAGTACAATTTCCAAATACAGCAAATGTGGATTTTCATGTCCCAAAAACTCCTTATCTGCAAACCCAGGTTCAACCAAAGATTCGAAGTAACGCCCTAGAAATGCTCCTAATTTTGGGATAGCACCGCGCAAAAGGCATAGGACAGAAGAGATGATGTCAAAAGTATTTCCAGGCTTGCCAACTAACGCGCAGTCAGCCGCGATACTCTTGATTGAGGCGAGCCCATGCCCTTGACGCCTATCTCGATCTGTCGCATGATCTTCTGCAGCAGCCCATCCATGCGCGGCACATCCCGCAAGGCCGGAATGACGGATGCGGCCTCGTATTCGCTATCCAAGATATAATATCGTTCCCTTCCCCAGTTCTCCACCGTCTCCTTCTGAAATGCGACTCTCGCAATAACTTTGGCTGGAACGCTAGCCTTGTTTATCGCACTCTTGGAAAACACCCGCAGGAATGGCCGGAGTCCAGACCGCGTCTGGTGTGCCATTCGGACCGATAACGGGGCATCGGTCGTTAGGTGGCTCTCTCCGGTCAAGCCGCCGGGATCCATTGTGTATACATTGAGCGAGATGTTGCCCGTCTACCCCATTCGGCTTTTGTTAGTGGGGTACTTTTGGAACCGTAGGGAAGGACTACTCACAAGTACCAGACTTCGACGCAGGGCATACATGGCAGCGCTCATTAGCAGCTTACTACTTCCGAAGCGACTGGTCGCTTCCTTGGCGCCAATTGGTGTTCCTGGCGGCTGGGTGGCACTCTCCGGGTCTTCGCCGTCAAAATAGTCCAGGGATCCCTTGGATATGGAGGAGCACCCGATATTGATTACTCGAGCTCCGCCGTTCGGTGTACCGTCGCCTGCGCGGAAGGCCTCGAGCAGGCTCACGGTCAACAGGAACGGCGCGATGCAGTTGGTCTGGTAGACGGGATCGTACCCATCTCGTGTGACTTGATCGGTAACGTATGACGAAGTTGCGGCGGAGTTGATCAACAAGATCACGGGAGGGATCTCTTTACTTCGCACCCTCTCGACGGTGTATTGGGAAAAGCTCACGACGGAATTGAAGCAGGCCAGGTCTGCCTTAACCACCTCGACGGAGCGGGGTCCAATGAGACGGATCCTGTCCGTCACATCCTTGACGCTGTCGGATCTGATATCGCGGGCCACTAGCAGCAAGTGAACAAAAGGCTGCGCTTTGGCAATCGAGACAGCTATCTCCGACCCGAGCAATCCATTCGCGCCGGTGATAATAGCGGTACCAACAAGTGGAGTACCCATGACGAAGGTTGGCCAGCACAACCAACAAGAAGTCCAAGAATAGATATCAACGGTAAGGGGGGTAGTAGATAAGTAGGTAACAAGAATAATAGCAATGTCAGCGTAGAGCCGAACTCAGCGCTATAACATGCTTAGGGCGCAAGAAAAAAAGGTTCAAGAAGACAAGAACAAGAGAAACCCAAAATCGCAAACGACAGGCGACAGGGTCTTCAGAAGTTTAAGAATCACGGAATCAGTCAGACAGACAGACAGAGACAGACAAGCTGATTAGTTCCCCTCTAAGCGATTAGCAAACAGGGTTCATTAGATAAATCCCGATCAGAGCATGATGGGGCACTTTTCGGCAAGTCAGTCTCCAGCAAGGAAAGGTAGGTCAAAGAAATCACCGACAGCCTTTCGCCTCAAATTACAGTAGCAGAAAGTATTAGCAGTAGCACAGCGACGATGATAATAATAATAGTAATAATAATAATAATCAAAATGAAATAAAGACCCCCAGGACTAACGAATTGCAGCAATTGCTGACCACCAGCAAAGCACAAGGGGGGCAAAATAAAAAAAAGGAAAAGGAAAACGAAAAAAGTCGTATACGAGTAAGAGGCCCAAGAGGAGAAAAGAAAAAAAATAAATTAGTTTACTTGCACTCGATCCCCGTCCCGAACCAAGGAAATCGACCAAGATCGAGGCGCCGGGAGCCGATGGGCTAATCGGGGGTTAATTAGTTAGTCTAAGTAACTAGATTTAGAATGGATGGTTAGTTAGTTAGTTTTGAACGCCAGAGCCAGAATCAGGCACACGGCGGATAAGAGATGCTGCGCAGAGAGAAAAAAGAAAGCGACAAGAACCAACCAGGCCTGAAGTTTGAAACCGTGGGTGGGGAGGGGAGGGAGGTAACTAGTAACTAAAGTAGAAAAGTAGTACTAATCTAGGATTGTTCTCCGTAGGACCATTGAAAGTGAGGATGGATTTGGGGGAGGGGGGGATCCACACACTTGGGTTCTTCGGATTGAGAAAACCTGGAAGGAAAAGGAGATGATGGATGGATGGAGCTTGGACGATGGATACTTACTTACTAGTTAGTTAGTTAGCTGGTTAGGTAGTAGTGTTACTCTAGTCTTGGGTTAATGGATACTTATGTGTGGTTATTAATAGATGGGAGGAAGAGTTTGGGTATGGTGTCAGTTAGGGTACCAGGTAATAATGTCAGGATTTATGCACTTATTATCATCGTCATTATAAGGTAGATGAAACACAGGTAGATACTTATTACACTAATTACTCTTCTACTACTTATGATCAGGCCATACTAATAATCGTGATCATCATTCATTATTTCCGACAAACAAACTGTAACAGTCGTGAGTTAAAATTTGCAAGGATTATTTTTCCAGTCCTTGCACTTGCCTCTCTGTTCCTTAAATTAGCACAGGTTGAAAGAAGGAAAGGCAAAAAGGCAGGTCAGCGTAAGTGGAGGCGAGACATGCATACAGACGACGGCAGCCACTGTTACGCCCCTTTATGCATGTAGAAGACATCGTTCTAATTCCATAGTCTTCTTCGCGTTACTGCTGGTTACTTGAAGGGAGAGAGTATTCTCTTGACTCATCACCTCATCATCTTAGTATTTGAGTAACCAATTCATCAGCTAGTAAATTGAACTAGACTCAGCATCTAACTGAATGATCAATAGATTATTCTCCGATACAACATACTTGTGTACCACCTCTGTTCTCATCGTCGAAGAGTGACGTTCACATCGCCAACCCGACTATCTTATTAACAGCAACATGAATATTGAACAAGCACGGTTGGGATTCAAATAAAAAGAAAAGCATTTATGACTCTTCAATTATCCCTGACCATAAGATACCTTGGAGTAAAAATAATAAAAATAAATATCACTACACTTTCATACTGCCGTTCCATATCCCACAAGTACCTAGTTCTCTAGGTCTGTCCGTGCATCTAGACACATCGTATACCACTACCGACTAGCCTACTAAGTACTTACTTTATACCATCTCGTAACAACTTTGCACCATTTGACGTGATTCCTCATACTACCGACGACTTACCCCAAAGTGGCGCGGTCGAACGCATGTTCCTTCTGCAGACTAATATACACGCTAAGCCGAACTAAGTAGAAGTAAGTCATTGCCGAAATCTATCTGTTGTGCTTTGTGCTTTGTGTTTGTATTTGGGACCGAAGGGAAGGACACGAAGAATAAAAAAGGGTAAGCAGGGATTAAGGGTTTAGGTGCGCGTGATGAACGCATACTAGATAGATGAGGATGAGTTGCGTTATCTCCGAGGTGAAGGGTGGGGAGATCTCGGAGGTAAGTCATTCACTACTACCTACTTGATAGCTTAATATATTAAAGGTGGAATACTGAATAGGGGACGGTATTACTTAATTGTGCGATACCATGCTGTGTGTCTGTGTAGGGGCAATGTTGGAGTGGCGACGAGGTCTAGACTTACAGTAATTTCCTAGGAAGTCCCCTTCAATTGCCGAATTCCCGATCATTGTTACTAAATACACACTAAGCTTACTAGATATTAGGATATATGACACCTCGATTCGACTAACTATTCATCGGGAATAGCACGAACTGACATGATGGCCAGCCAGCATCTCCAATTGTCCAGAACGAACTGGCGTCGGGATGAACCATCCCCGCTGAATCAGGCGGAGTGGAGTCATCCAACTACCTCACTAGTTAACTAACTAGTTGACATCTGGCAGACGGGTTTGCCCGCCTGGACGCTGCTCCTGCATCGAACTACTTGGGGATGGATGAGGTTATACGAGAAATCGACCCCGCCCCGGCAGAGTCGCGCGGGAATAGCACAGCTTGGCACCACCAGCCGTTCCGAAAGACTGGACAGCATGCTGTCGTGGTTGCACTTGCCATCCCTGTTCAGTCTCTCGTATTCATTCCCACACACGTGTTGGATGTCAAAGGTAAGTACAGTAGCGTACGTCCCCCGCCTCGCCTCGCCTCCTCTCCTCTCCAGAGGACTTCCTTCTTCTCATGGATACTGAGAGACAACCCTGCAGGGATCCATTCTACATCACGCACAATAGCTAGCGCCGTGTTTCCCCCTCCCCGGGCGGACCAGTCTACGACACGGAGTGCCCGGATCAAGAAATACCTTGGCATTGCTGACACGTCTGGTTCTGCTGGTCTCGGCATTGCAAGAAAACTGGCTGTGCTGCGCCTTCAGGAAGTACGCCAATCCTCGGGTGAGAGGGAAGATGTGCATGGTATGGATGCTGTCATGTATAACACGGGCTAAAATGCAAGTAACAACACACGTATTTGGTTTTGGACCACGTCGTGCAACACACCGCCAGCCGCAGCTGATCAATACTCGTCCCACTCGCCCTGGATGTCTCGGACTTTCATGCCGAAATGTCCACCAAGATCTTGATCTGGTTGTCTCGGCCGTGGATTAAGGATTTGAAACCTTTTTCGACGATGTCTTCCATGCGAATTTTACTGGTGATCAAGGCCCGAGGGTTGAGTTTGCCTGTGTTCAGTCAGCTTCGGTATAACGTGTGAACGGTCAAGCATGGCTGTCTGGCAGTCACGTACCTGACCACATAGCGTCGATGACGGCCTCAAATTCTCCGTCTTCATATATCACCGACCCTACCACGTGCTTTTCGCCTAGTACCACGTCAAATGCATAGATCGCCGGCTTGTCGCTCCAGAGAGACAGAATCGTCATTGTGCCCCGTGCCCGGATCCCTTTCAAAGCGGTATCCAGTCCTGCTTGCACAGCAGAGCATTCAAATGCTATATCAGCTCCGGCATTGCCCGTCATCGCACGCACCGTGGCCACAACATCCTCTGCCCGGGGGTCAAGAACACGCGTAGCACCCAAAGAGCTGGCAAGCTCTCTCCGCTGCGACGCGACCTCCACGACGACAATGTTCTCTACGCCACGGGCCTTGAGAACCAGAAGTACAGCAAGCCCAATGGGTCCAGCACCCACCACCAGCGCCGTACGAGCATGAACATTCTGGATAGAAGACCGATTGACTGCATGCCATGCCACAGTCAATGGCTCCACGAGAGCTACACAATCAGCACCATGCCACATCTATAATGGTAAGAAAAGATCAGCTCACCCCCAAGATCCAACTCAAAACCCTCCGGCAACTTCACGGCCCTATTCTCCTTGACAACAACATGATCCGACAATCCCCCAGCACTACCTGCACATAATCAGCCAACCCTTCAATAAACACTACTCTACACCCAGAACCAAAACAAGAAAAGAGAAAGACAGATGGAACATACCACTAAACCCCACAAACCCCAAATTATCACAACAATTCACCCAACCCCCAAGACAAGCCGCACACCCACCATCAAACAAATTCGGCTTAATAGCCACATTATCTCCCACGTGGAGTCGAGTGACTTCCTCCCCTACTTCAGTAACCGTGCCGCTGAACTCGTGACCTAGTGTCACGGGAATCTTCTCCCCCGTTATGGGGTGCGTAGTGCTCGGGATGGTGGACGGGCCGTGGAGATATTCGTGGATGTCTAATCAGTCTACTCTTAGCCTGGCCTTGACTTTCTGCTCGTAGCATATATCAGAGATAGATTTAATGGAAAGGAGATGTGTTCATACCACTACCACAAATCCCCACGAAAGCAGGTCTGATCTAGTATCACAATATTAGTATATCATACCACCATACCAGTAGGAGAGTACCAAAAATCAGTATAAAACAAGATAATAGACCCTGCAAGAACCAACACAACACAATAATAAGTTTAGAATAACATAATACTCAAAATAACCTGCTAGGATTCGAAATAAAAATAAGATATTCATAAACGAACCTTCACCTCACCCACCCCGCACGACCCGGGTTCCTGGATCTCCTCGACTCGGATATCGCCTCGGCCGTGGTATCGGACTGCTCGCATGGTAAAATACTACCGAAGATCGTTTATTATCTGATAATGTATAGTCACTTCGGAGAGTAATTCTGTTGAATAATGGTATGTATGTATGTATGTGATATATACTAAGGTTGATATTGGCAAGGAAAAGATGGAAGAAGAAACAAGAATGGGGTTCCTGAAGGTGGTGGTCCAAGTTTGATTATGATGTTATGTTCCGGTAGCGGGAGATTTCCGCGATTGTTTGGTTTGTAAACTTGGCAGGTCAATGTTTGTGAGGGGTAAGCTTTAAATCGATGTTTGTATTAAGGGGTGTATGGTATAGAGATATGTATCAATAAATCATTCACATTCCCTCGTCTAACTTGCAATGGCGCTATCAAATCATAACTTAACTATTTACGTTTGTGATCAGAGCAGCCCCTCTCTTTTTCTTTTTCTTTTGCTTCCAATTCAAACTGCCTTTTTATATCTGTCCCCTGTCTCCGAATCATTTATTCTCTTACCGGACAGCCGCACCCTTCAGGGTCTTGACTGTGCAAAGTCCACCGGATTGCGTCTTCAGCCTACCCAGAGCGGGCTTGCCCTCCTGGCCCTGCACGGCCGGAACGGCACTCATCTCAAAGGCAACCTCGAGGGCATCGGTGGTGGTGAATCCAGGCTGGTAGGTCTCCCAGACCTTCTTCTTGGGGTTGAGCACCTTCTCGGGCTCACCCTCGGTCCAGCCCTCGAAGCACACGCGCTCACCGGCAGGGGCATCGGCAGGAGGCGAAACGAGCTCGACGGGTCCAGCGTGCGAGTCCTCGCCCTCAGCCACGCGGGGAGAGGCGGCCAAGACCATGGCGCAGGACTTGATGCCACGCATGGTGACGGGCTTCAGGTTGCAGACGGCGACGATCTTGCGGTTCTGCATCTCCTCCAGGGGGATCAGACCGTTCAGGCCAGAGCACACAGTGCGGACAGTCTTGCCGGTGGCCTCATCCAGAGAGGTGTTCTCGGTGCCCGGGGCGTCACCGCAGTCGATGGTCGAGACGTAGAGGGAGTCGGCGTTGGGGTGGTTGACGGCACGAAGAATGTGACCGACACGGAGGTCAATGACGGAGGGGGACGGGGGAGCAGCAGGGGCGGGCGCAGCCTTGGCCGGCTTCTCCTTCTTTTCCTTCTTCTCCTTCTTGGGCTTGCCCTCGGGCTTAGCGGCGGCGGCAGCGGCGTCACCCTTAGCACCGTCGGCCTTGGCCGCAGCCTCGGGCTTGCCCTGTCCGACAACGAGGGGCTTGCCAGCAGCCTCGGCGGGCTTCTGGGCAGCGGCCTTCTCCTTCTTCTTGCGCTCCTTCTCCTCCTTGGGGTCGACGGGCTTGGGCACGAAGCGGACGTCGTTCACGTCAATGGTGACCTTCTCCTCATCGGGGATCTGGAGAGCGAAAATGCGGCTGTTCTGGACGAAGTCGACGTGACGGACGATGTGATGGTAGCCCTGCTCGCCGGTACGCTCCTCGGGGGTCCATTTCTCGACGAGAGGAGCGACGAGAGCGTAGACGGCAATATCAGCCACGGAGGGCTTCGCACCGAGCAGGGTTGTGCGGGTGGCGAGGTGAGAGTTCAGCTGGGCGAGGATGGTCGAGACGACGGGCTTGTCATCCTTGCTGAGAGCGGTCTGCAGACCGGAGATGGTGGCCAGCCATTGCTTGACGTCGGCCTCTTCGGAGACGGAAAAGCTAGTCTGCGGAAAGATTTTGGGGGTGGCCGTGTGAAGGTCGGGCTCCGTAGCGTCGGGGGAGATGGCGGTAGGGTAGGAGCGGTAGAGGAGGGAAAGGAGGGAGGACTCGGGGGCAGAGTTGATGGCCATTTTTGCGAATGGGCGACCGGCAGGCTGGAGGAAGAGAAGGAGAGACGACGAGGTGGTGAACGAGAGAGGAGGGGCAGGATTGAATCCTACGCAGTCACGGTGATTCAGCGGTCGAGCGAACCGCGGGGTTCTTCTGCTGGCGACCCGCAGAAGTGCCCCCGTTGGCCTGAGGAGCGTCACCTTGGTCGCTGCTAACACAAGATCCCTGACTGAGAGGGATCTTGTTTATTGGGTGAATTAAGGGGATTTAGATTAGATGATTCTTCTTTACAAGTTGAGTGATAATGCTAGCGACCAATTGAGAAGCACTCGGGACTCTCTGCATTCACGGTCATTATTTTTATTTTTTTCCTTTCCTTTTTCCCCCTTCTCCCTTTCCGGACTGATCGCCCAAAACCGTTTAGGGCTGTTGGCTTACTCAGCACTGCAAGTTGCTTCAGATCTACAAAATAATGTTAGTTACATTTCCCGCAACAAACACTCTCTACCTCTTCTGGACAATCATTTCAGCAATGGCTCTATTTTCTCTTGCCGATATGGCATATTAATCTTGCTTCAATATGTAACATGAATTGTAACTACAGCCACGCGACCCCCGCCTTGACTCGCAGACCCAAGGCAAAGCAATGCACGTGAGTAACTGTCCATCCATCTGCCCACGTAGGATACAGTCCAGATCTCAACCGATATTATTACACGCGGGGGAAGTCCACAAAGGGAAACTAGTTCTTGGGGGAGGCAACACCAAGAGAGGGTCCACGCATGTCAAAGACGACAAAGAAGGCCTTCAGGAACGTGTCGCCCAGAATCTGCAACGAAGTCTTGCCGTTGGATTGAATGCCGCCAAAGCACACTAACCAGCAAAATCAGTCAATCATGTTCAATCAGGCAAAAGCAAAGAGGGAACTTACAGGCCTGTCCGGTGGTGGTGTTGGTGCCAACCTTGGAGAAGTTGATCAGGTTGCCGGGGATCGTGGCCAGGCTCGACTCGCCGAGAACCAGGGAGAAGCTGGGGAGAGTGGTGTTGCAGGGGTAGATGTAACCACCGGCACTGCCCACGTAGACCGAGTTGGGAACTTGCGCGTAGTAGGCAGTAACCACGTCGTCGTCCAACAGCATAAGGGAGGTACCGGTGTCCGCGATCGAGGTGTTCACGCTTCCAATGTCCTTCAGCTCTCCGTCTGCCACGGAAAACTTAGGGGTGGAGAACTGCCAGTATCCGTTCGATGAGTCCACGCTGACGTTGGCAATGTTGCCCTGGTACTTGTTCTTGTCGATCGTGCCAAACTCGTACTCGCCCACTCCGTCGGACTTGAGCGAGGCGGTCATGACGGGCTCGTCCAGACTGGATGCGACATTGGCGAAGAACGTCTTTTGCGCCTCCGGCTTGATAGTGTTGATGGAGGAAAAGCCCAACCCGACCAGGCCGTTGGAGTTCGTGTCGTCGATGAATGACTGGGACACCTTGTTGGGGACACCGAAGGCTTGCTCGTCAACAACGGCGCCGCCAATGTTGACGGTATCCGTTCCGACAGGGCCAGAGGCGTAAGAGTCGTCACCATACGAGACATCGAAGGTGTATCCGTCCATCTTCTTGAAGGTCGAGGAATTTGAAGGGTTGTACTCTGTGTGTCCCGTCAAGGTTTCATTGAGGTTCGTATCAAGCACCCAACTGTTTTGTGATGTTAACCATCGTACCAAAATGTAGACAGATGCAGTAAGACTTACAAGTCAGAAGAACCAGTGTCAAAGGTCATGACGACCTTCTGGCCGCCGATGAGAACAGGCGAAACGAACTCGGCATCGCTCTCGACCGAAGTAGCACTGACAGCGCCAGTCTGATCAGGCTCCGAAACCTCGCTTCCAGCAGCAGCGTGACTCGTGGTAATGGGCTTAAAGTCTGCCAGATCAACGTTGAAACTGCTGGGAGCTATTCCATACTTCCGGTATGCTTTGCGGAGAGCAGCGGGCCCACGCAGGGCACCGGTTCCACGACGGGCCCGTTCAACCTTGAAGGAACGTGCTTTATGCTGATTTGACGGACCGTGGGGTAAAGAGAGGACGCCGTAGCTGAAGCAAATGGCAACAACGAGAGACTGGAGGAGCTGCATGGTGGCTCACTCTGGAAATGATGTCGACGGGCGGACTATAAAAAAAAGAGGGGATAGGGCCCGACAAGTTTCAGAACAAAACAATTCGAAAACAAAGAACGTATTAAGTAGTCTGAGAATTGAGAAATAGAATCCTTTCCAGAAGGATTGAGTTTTTAAAAAGGGGAGGCAGTATGGGGGCCAAAGTCCTGACTTAGCCTGGTATACTGTGATGTTACGAGGCTGAGTGAACCAACTGGCGGAGCAACGAACAGACCAGACCAAGAGAGAGAGACAGTAGTAGCGCTCAGCCCAACAAAGCCCAGCAGATGAGAAAGAAAATGACAGCGGGAACAGAAATGAAAGAACACTAAGGTTAACGAACTAGAAGAGAAATGTAAACAAAAAGGGGAAAGAAGTGCAGTCTATAAAAGGGCAGCAAGTCGAAAAGGAAAAAGTTCGGAGAGGCATTATTCACCGTCGAGCGACTTTTAGCAGGCCCTACTATAGTTGATTCGCCCAAGACACCAAGACTTTTGCACTCTACATCGATCCACCCAGCACGGAGGCTGGAGGGGTGGCATTGTTCCAACTAGCTGGACAAGTCTGGTCCCAAAAGCCCAGCGGTGGAATCATCAACCAATCCTGGATGATCCAGGCCCAGTTAGCCTGGATTCACGGGAGAAAACCCAGGAGAAATCCATCTTCATTTGCCTGACACTGGCGGGGAAGTGAGAGGAGAAAGAAAGTGGGTTCAACTTCGATCTTCCGCTTGTGCTGCTGCAGAAAACTCTATATTTTCTTCTGTTCACAGCAGCAGAGAGCGCATGGGACATGAGGAACCTGCCTTTGACAGGCGACTGGCCTCTTTTCCTTGACAGCGACCGGGGCGAGCGAGTCCCTGAGTGGCTCCTGGTGAAACAGTCTAACCGCCAGGGCCAGGGGTCACCGACCAATCATCAGTGAAAAACATCATGAAACACCAGCGTGCCTCGAAAGCGGTTCCGTGGATAAACTTTGAGTTAGGCGTGTTACAAAGTCCAGCGTGGGACGCCGGCTTTTTCCCACCGTCTGCCCTGCCATTGAGCCACTCGGCATTAATGTTCAGGCACCAGCAGCAGCAGTGCACAAGGTACGCTGCATCGGCGTGGCTCCAGTCCACATAAGAATCTCGAATCCCGAGTACGTCAGTGGACGAGTCATGCATGCGTGGCTAAACATTTCGCAATTGTGCACACGTACACAGTAGTAGATCGATCTGAACAAGCAGGATTCTTACTCAGCCCTGGAAAGCCGCGTACGTAGGCAGTCGATTTTTTTGGTAATGTTCATCATTGCCCAAGAGAAGTTCAAGAAATTGGACGAATGGATGTCCGACAACACAGTTGGGAGATAGACTTTCTGTTTGCCCAGCGGTTACTAGTAGTTTCTTGGGTTAACCCGTTAACCTGCCATGGCAAAGAAAGCGTGACACAAGACTACTATCTATCTAATCGGCTACTCCGGGGGAACGTTGATCTTGAACCCATCTAGGTAGTAGCAGCAATAATTCTGTATGTTTAGAAATGCTACTTATCTTTCTCGGCATTATCGAAGGCCTCATCAAGATCCAATCACACTCAAGACAAGAGGAGCACCCTGAATGTTCAACCTCGGGCCAACCCCCCGTTGCGGATCTTCATCAGCGGATTTCCGTCTCCCTCAAACAGAGCCAAGCAAACGGTGAGATGGAAATGGTCCGATGGATGGCTCGGCGGGGATTCGCCTTGCAATCTGCCAAGCACCCTTTTTCAGACCCCTTCTTTTCACTTGGCGGGCGGTCCGGCAGTTTCTAGTCGCCAAGCTGTCCAGCAAGTTAATATGACTGATGGAATGGGTGAACTTCATTATCATGTTACATGAAATCACTTAATATGATTTCCCGTTTCTATCTATAGGATCGACAGCAGCAAACTCCTTCGCTTTGGCCTAGGGCTTAGTGAGCACTAATAACGTAAGTCGGTAGTTGGTTATTAACTGCTCGTTAATTGCAGTAAACACACGAACTCCTGTCCGTGAACACGGGTTCTTTCTCCCCCGCGCAGCCCCCAAGCTAGGTATATCTCGCCCCCAATGGTGTAAGCGAAGACTACGAAGAGTGCCTTGGGGCAGTACAAAATAAGTAGGGAAAAGGAGAAGCGATGAATAAGGTTGAGCGGGAAATAGAGAAAGGTTTGAAGATTTGGTATCTAAATGACTTCTTGGTCAAAATGCCCGAAACACCCACAAATGAAAAGACCTCGGCTTGCTATCCCAATGCTGAACGCCCGTGAAATCAGATCAAACATCATATATATGATAAGAATCACTCCGCCACATCTTCCGGCAAAACGTCGTTGGGATCCTCGCCAATCATCCCAGCAACCGAGCGGACAACTTGCTTGATCGCAATCGATGCTGGGCTGTCAGGATAATGATCCACGAAGCTCTCACCATAATCACATGCCATACCCACCCGCGGGTCAAGAGGCACAGCGCCCAGGAAAGGAATGCCCATCTTCTTGGCGAGTCGCTTTCCGCCCCCGGTGGTAGCCCGGAAGATCTGGGTCTTCGTGTTGCACGACCCGCACACAAAGCCAGACATGTTCTCAACTAGTCCAAGGATGCGAATGCCTGCCTTGCGGCAAAAGTCAATTTCCTTCCTGACGTCGAGCAACGAGACCTCCTGCGGGGTAGTGACAACCACTGCGCCATCCACACCAGACTCCTTAAGAAGAGAATTGACGGACAGATGCTCGTCCGACGTCCCCGGGGGTGTGTCGATGACCAGATAATCCATCTCACCCCAATCCACATCCTTCAAGAATTGTTTAATGAGTCCGTTCTTCTTCGGCCCTCTCCAGATCACCGCATCATCGCGATTGGGCAGCATGAACTGCACGCTCATCGTGGCCAGATTATCCGTCACCCACACCGGACTCCAGCCTGCATTGCTCACGTGGATGGTCTCCGCCTCGACGCCCATCATTTTTGGTATCGATGGCCCACAGATATCCGTATCCATTACACCCACGGTCGATTCGGGGTTTGCGGCGAATGCGTGTGAGAGTAAAGAGGTGAATGTAGATTTTCCAACGCCGCCTTTGCCAGAGAGTACGAGGATTTTGTGACGTATTTGCGATAGTCGCTCGGTAATGATGGGGATATCGGGGTCGGGGCCTTTAGGCGCAGATGCGCAGATCGATTGGTTGGGGCACCCCGCACAGGCATCGCCTTTGCCTGCTTGTTCAGACTCGGGTCCAGGGCAATGCTCTTCTCAAATATTAGTATACTGGGCATATGCTAGACAAATATGCCTGCTTCATATCAAACATACCTGGCTCGGGAGCCACCAGATTCGGGGCCATCTTCGACCGCGCCTCGAGATAGGCCGCGGTCGGCTCCTCGAGAGAAGGTGCCATTTAGAATTTCAATCTCGGATATCTACTCTTTTGGTCTGCTAGTCAAGCGAGGCCACAGCAGATACTGAACGATCAGTCACCAAAAAGATGTTATTGTGTGTGATAAAAGCTGAATGCAGTCTGACAAGAAAAGTGGCGGCGTGACCGCGGGCGGGATGCTTGATAAGCAACACATGACAAACGCTGCAGTGGCGATTGGCGCGGGGTTCGTTTCGATCGCAGCGGTGTCGGAGAGCGCGGCGATAAGATCCATTGCTGGCTACCCATGCCAGGAACAAATCTCAAAGCAAACAAGCTCTTTGCATAATCTTAGATCTAAACTGTGTATGGAAAAATTATCCTATCGCACCGTTAAAATTTTGAATGCATGTTTGGGATCAATACACTGGCTCTAGTGAGCATGGATGCTATGCTTCCAATCATCCTATCGACTCGAAGCGACACCCTCCCATACTGCTAGTTCAGTGAGACACTATCTGCAGTATAGAGGGTCAATGTATATGCAGTAGACTATAAACATCACTATGCTTGTCGAAATTGGCAAATAACACTGGCCATATTATTCAGATGCCCGGCAGACGCTGTCTCTACTATCTCTAATATTATGGCAAGTTCGCCGACTCGCAGTCCGAAGGGATGCCAACCAGACAGGCCGACACGAGAGGGGCAGCCTGGGTTCAATCTGATGTCGGGAGGGGTAACGCGGAAAATTCATGCAGTGTCAGAACTTTAACGAGGTTCAACAATGCCCACAACCCGGTTGCGCAATGATATAATATTATCCCTAATGATCCAGGACCAGGTTCTCACGTATGGCTAAGAGCATCCTCAAAATGACATTGCCCACATCAAGCATGCATAGTTGGGTAGGACAGTATAAAAATACACGCGCAATATTCTGCTACAAGGCGGGTAACTTTCTATGTGAGCCAGTAATGTCACCATATGTGCGTTGAAAGGAGAAATAACACCTCGCATAGTCCTGTCAATCAGTTTCTATCCTGGGATAGTCAGAAGACGGCCGTACTGCACAACTTTTCTCAAGATGAGGGGAAGAGATGCATCTCTCCTGGAGCCAATGTCGTTCGGAATGAGTGCGTTGGCCATAGGGAGTGCTCATTGTCCGCATGCGCCACCAGGTACAGATTTAGTTGCATCGACCTTGGTTTCAATCAAGGTACACACCATCCTGGGGTATTCACGATATTCTATTGATGGAAAGAATCAATTGATTCAATATCCAATGGGTCCGTGATCAATGAGCAGGCGCAGTTGCCGCCATTAGAAATCTATGTCCAATACCAAAGTGTGCATGAAATGGCCCGGAATGTCTGGAGCGAGGGAGGGGAGCTGCTTCCCGAAAGCCAGTTTCTAGGATGTGGCTGCATCATTAACGGGCCAGCAGCCAGCAGGTGCAGACTGGAATGATGCGGTAGTCCGCATATGTTTGTGATCGACGATATCTGGGTGTGGGAGAGAGGTTTACTACCCTTTATTCCGAATCGTGTACCAAGGACCAGAATCTGGTAGTGCGCAGCGATCCAATCTGCGCAGCGATCCAATCTGCGGTGGGTAAAAGTGGGCAGGCCGTCGGACCATGGGATGTTGAGATCCATTACTTCTCTTCCATTCCAGCCCATTCTCCCAAGAAAGCGTACCGGGCAAGCGTCATAACTGGCGTCAGTTGGACTGCTTGAGAGTCCGGGTCTTTCCCCAGGCAGTGCACGGGGGCCCACACTTAAGCAGTGCTAACCGACAAAAGTGGGCACTTGGGGAGGAGATGTCGCTGCTGTCTCATATTGCTCGCTAGTCCTAACCCCAACGCTTTGCCAGAATAAATACGTGGACGGACCTCTAGCTTTTCCCCTTTGCTGGTTACTTACACTCAACCATTAAGCATTTAGACCTTGGTTGTGTGCTGTTTACGCTTCACCTCTTGGACACCATTCCCAGCGATCTCGAGGGATTCCCCAATGCGGCTTGGTGACTCAGAATTGAGAAGCACGGACCAATCATAGTTACCCTGACGCTTTAAATACGGCCTGCCCCCAGCACCTCTGTCACATGCTTTTCTCTCGACTGTGCGCTTTTTTTCATTCCTTACCCTTAACCACTTCTCGGTAAACAATCATGGATCGAGGCCTCTCAACAGGCACTCATATCGGGGATGATGGACTTCGCGAGAGGTTTCAGTCCTCTCAGTCCGACTCATCCCTGGGCGCTGGTGCACTCACTGCTGCCGGTGAGGTCGAAGCCAAGGATGGTACAAGCCAGAATAAGAAAACTTTTGGCAGGACCCCTGATGGTACAGGTAGGCATTCCATTGAGTGATGCGTTGAGCCTGGTTGGAATTAGGCAATCTGTTAGCATTCAATGATGGCGGACTTCTACGTTATAGTGGCGGAAGTTGGCGGCTAATTTACCTCATTGCTTCTTAGTGTTCACGGTGCCCCAAACCCACGACATGGTCTCTCAACTCCTGTCGCCTTCGGAACCTAAGAATTTGTCCGATGTGATAGTTCTGGCTATACTGGGAGCACACATCCTTTTATTGTGGTGGCTCCCGGACTTTGCCAAAATACCTGTGTTTGCGGTCATCTACCTCTTCTGGCGTGCAGCTTACAATGCCGGAATAGGATGGCTTTTGCATAACCAGTCCCACCACAAGACCCTTGTGCGCTGGGCAGAAAAGACAAGGATCTTTGTGAACCCCTCTACTAACCAGAATCCGCACCCCAACGTGTATAACTTGCTCAAGCGGGAATTGGAGACTAAGATCCCTACAGACTATTCCTTTGAAGAAGCTCCGATTGAGTACAACACTTGGCTTGTCTTTAGACGCTTGGTGGACTTGATCTTGATGTGCGACTTTACGTCATATTGTCTCTTTGCTATAGCATGTAGCCACCATCCTGTGGGTGAGAGCATGTTGATGACAGTCTCGCGTTGGTCGGCCGGCATTGTGCTCGTCCTGTTCAACCTTTGGGTCAAACTAGACGCACACCGCGTGGTTAAAGACTATGCCTGGTACTGGGGAGACTTCTTCTACCTCATCGATCAAGAGTTGACGTTCGATGGCGTCTTCGAAATGGCCCCTCACCCCATGTATTCGGTCGGATACGCCGGGTACTACGGTATCTCATTGATGGCGGCCAGCTACAAAGTACTCTTCATCTCCATAATCGCCCATGCAGCTCAATTCGCCTTTTTGGTGTTTGTCGAAAACCCGCACATCGACAAGACGTACAACCCTCCTCCACCGCGGAAGCGTATGACCGAACAAGACTCTGTATCTACATCATCTCAGGCCACTGAGCCTTCCGTTGCCTCAGCGTCAACCGATGAGCCACTGCCCCAAGCGACAACATCCCCAAGCGGCCCACCTCCTTCAGTTCACAATCTCCTGGGTTTCAACAACTTGGATCTGTATCGGATAACGGATACATCATCAATCCTGATCCAGCTACTCGTATTTGCACTGACCGTTCTGACGCCCTCAACGCCCCGATACCAATTTCTCTTCGTGGCCAATGCCGCGGTATGGAGATTGGTGTTTTCGGTGGGCATCGGATATCTTTTGACCGAGCAATCCAACTGTAAAGCGTGGACCCGTCATTTTCTCAAGTATGGTGAATCACCTAATGAGGCCTGGAACCAGTGGAAAGGCACTTATCATCTGAGTATGATCATGTGCTATGCTAGTTTCATTGCTGCCGTATGGAAAATGTACACGCTGCCCGCTGACTGGGGCTACGGTCTGGTCCTGCTCCGTCATGTTCTGGGCGCCGGGCTCATTAGCTTGCAAATCTGGACCTCTGCCAGCATCTACGAGTCTCTCGGGGAGTTCGGCTGGTTCTATGGTGACTTTTTCTTCGAAGGGGCCCATAAGTTAACGTATAACGGTATTTATCGCTTCCTGAACAATCCTGAACGGGTGCTGGGTCTGGCCGGCGTCTGGGGCGCTGTCTTGATCACAAGTAGTGGCGCGATTACATTCCTGGCCCTCTTGAGCCACATTCTAAGTATGGCCTTCATCCAATTCGTGGAGCGCCCGCACATGCAGAAGCTGTATGGCCGAAGCCTGCGACAGGATGCGGGGCTGGTCAAGAGCCTGAAGCGGACCCTACCCCCCACTCTTCGTCAGCTTCATGGAAGCGTGGACAAGATCTTCGATGATTCCTTCGAGTTTATCGAGGATCTGATCGACACCGCTCGCCCTAAACTAGCTGCCGGCGTTAATACCTTCGTCAAGGACACTACTGCGCTATTCCAGACATATCCCGCACGTGTGACCATCTCCCGCATTGATGAGGACCTCGCTGGCCTGGACTCCCGGGACTATGCCCTGGAAGTCGAAGGCACGGATTCATCCTCTCTCGAGGAGTGCGATAAGAGTACTGGTAGAGAAGGTGCCAACGCTCGCGTGCCCCTCGACAGACGAGGCGATTTGAAGAACCTGGTTTTCGAATACGGCTCCCCGATCAAAGTCAAATGGACCGCTCCTTTGAACCACAGCAAGAAGGACTGGATCAGCCTGTACCGAGTCACAGACAATACCTCGCGTGAAGTCTCTCGCGTCTCCTCTCAAGGAAGATGGGTCGCCACAAACGAGGGTTTCTACGACAACCTCACCTGCGAGAAGGGCATCGTAACCAGCGACATTGTCACCCAAAACAGTGAGCATCGCGACGTCGCCACCGGCGAAGTCATCTTCTCAGGCGACAAGCTCTTCTGGACTCAGGGTGTCTTCGAGTTCCGTTATCACCACAATGGCAAACACAATGTCATGGCGATTTCTCGTCCCTTCGAAATCCGCATCCGCCGCTTCGATGAAGAATCTTTCGAAGATAACCAGGCGTCTGTCGAAAAGAGTCTCCTCCCTGTTGTCCGCAACTGCTTCGATCGTGACCCGGAAATTGCTCCCGAAACTGTGGAAGAGCAGTTCGGTAGCCTTGTAGAGCGTGATGGCAAGTTCGCTAAGAGAGTGGTCTTTGCTGTACATCAGATGTGAGTGACTATATTACCAATGGTTCCAGCGGCCAATAATCAGTATGCTAATCTATATATTATTTAGGTTCGGTATCGAATTTGCCCCTGAGGTAGTCCGAGCTGATGGGACTGTTCGGAATCTCGCTTGGAGGATCTGTAATGCGAAGCGGGTCTTGGTGAGTATCTGTCCCTCCACAAGTCAGTCCTTTCCGTTTCTTCAATACAGAGGGCTAATAGCTCATATTTATAATAGGCTCCTTATAGCATGACCAGAGATGGTGCTACAACGCCCACTGAGGCGCATGAGAAGGATGAGGAGTGAAGAGTGTTTCATTTTACTGACTGGGCGGGGGTGATAAATGCAACGCCGTTGCGACTTTTTCTGCTTATTTATCCCATTTTCTCTACTGCAGATCGAAATTCGGTCGGCTGGTGTATTACAGGAGTGAGACTAGTTGTGAAGTTGCATGGTGCTGCAGAAAGGCCGAGATGGGATTACAAATGATAAACAAGTGTAAATAAAACTTCACCATACATAAGGCTATTCCACTTCTCTGTTACTTTTACTTTTGGCTTTACGGGTACTAAAGTTGTAGGTGTAGTGGGTATATGGAAGACAAGTATTGGTATCAAGATGAGAAGATATCATTATTTTTACTAGCTATCATAAGGCGGACAAGACGAGAGAAAGTCTGCAGGCAGACGAGAAAGTCAGCTCACGATCCACTCAAGAATGTGGTTCTGAGATATAGGGCATGGACTCTACTCCAGGAAGAATAGAGTATATGGAAGGATCAGCCAAGCCGGGTAATTCATCCCTTCCCCTGCCAGTTCCGATCCCCCGTCAAGCCATCCAAAACGAACGACGAGGCGGGAAAAAGGCCCTGACACAAGTCAGGCACAACAAACATACCAACGCCGACAATGCGGACAACAACGATATAGCCTACCTCTCCAGGACTCCACAACCTTCCTCCCTTGAACACCTGCACATCTTCCCGAGGGACGACAGCGAGCGTAAGGTCCAGTATAAGGGAGATGGAAAAGTAGATCGATGAAGTCATATGCATGACATTGTTGGATGATGCAGGCCCGAGGGGCGGTTCTCCAAGGAGATCATTGAATGGATTGACTTGTTGTCATCATCGACGTGTGGGTTTGTTGTGTTTATGGTTTGTGTGTAATCGAAAATTATAAGCATACCTCTTCTGATAAGTCCAGGATGTGTAGCCCGGTGTGTGCCAATGGCACTTATGATTTTACAATTCCCTAGAGAAGTCTTGAGAGCTGTCAGTAAGATTGTTGACTGAAAGCAATGAGTGGATCAAGTAGTGATGTTTGTCCAATTGGATCAGGAGTTTTTGGTAAGGTATTTTGTTTTCTTCAAGGTTTTTGCAGAAGCAGAACTGAAAAAAATGTTTCTCATCATTGGATGATGGTCCAGGGTTGAGGCCTGGAGGGCTGTAGGAGGGGAAAGAGGGTGGCATACCAATTAGTTTATTACAATGGGATTTTTGAGGTGATAAAGCTGTCGCTATTATCCTATCATCTTAAAGCAATGTCAGCAAAGCTACTCAACCAGACATGGAAGAGAAAACACAAGGCAATTGTAGTGCATAATCAGATGGTGATGCATGTTTGTTCAAGGCCCATTTGTTTGTCGCCAGAACTGAAAGATTTTTGGATCTTGTTCATCAAGCAATGATAGGAAAGGAAGTGAAGAAGTGGGAAAGACTCACATTATACTAGTTAGTAACAAGTTGCCAATAAAGGCAGACTTGAAACAATTGAAGTCTCAACATAAAAGACTTGCTGCTTTTCGCAAACAATCAAGCTTGTGTGGTGCGGGAGAAGAAGAGAAAGGAAAAGCGCGAGTCGAAGCGAACAAAAGGAAAATTGGACGAGGAAAAAGAAAGCGCCGAATTCCGCGCTGCCCGCCTTGCAAACCATGCAAACTTCCCTCAAAATTGTAGATGACCGCTTCTGGACATCGACAGCAGCTCTGCTTGGCCATCCAAGTTTCTGACCCAATCTCTGTCTCGCTTCCTCAATCGCTTGTCGCGCTGGTACGAGGATGCCAAGTCATGTGTAATGACTGACAGACGAAGAATCAATGGGCCGCCTAGCGGCACGAGGCCGGCCGTTTTCGCCTCATCTCTGAAGTCCGCTTCTAGCATTTCTACCGGCAGACCACGACGTCAAAGGCAGCCGGATGAGCTTCGCAAGATCTGTAAGGGCAACTACGATTCTTGTTGGATGATATTATGGCTAATCTACTCTCATTCTAGTCCTGAAGACAGGTCTCATCCCTTCGGCATCTGGTTCCGCCTATCTTGAATTCGAACCCTCCGCATCACTTGCTGCTGCACGCTCAAACCCCCAATCCCTGATTCCTCCTTCCTCGGCATTGAAGCTTGCCTGTACAGTTCATGGCCCTAAGCCCCTGCCGCGCTCGGCTAGCTTTTCGCCCAACGTCGTCCTTACGACACATGTGAAGTATGCGCCGTTTGCTGCCCGTCAAAGAAAAGGGCATATCCGCGATGCGAGCGAACGGGACCTGGGTGTGCACCTAGAGACGGCGCTTAGAGGGGTGATTGTTGCTGAGCGCTGGCCCAAGAGTGGCCTCGATATCACAATCACCATCCTGGAAGCAGAAGATGATCGCTGGTGGGGCGATGCACCCGACTCGCATGATGCTCCTTGGGGAATGATGAATGTGTTGGCTGGCTGCATTACCGCTGCGTCTGCGGCAATTGCTGATGCTCGAATTGACTGCCTTGATCTTGTAGCTGGTGGTGTGGCTGCCATCGTCTCCGATGAGTCAGCAGAGGGTGAAACATCTACACCTAAGCTGATGCTCGATACGGACCCAGCTGAGCACAAGTCTATTCTGTCTGCCTGTGTCGTCGCCTACATGCCCTCTAGAGATGAAATTACGGAATTATGGCTCAAGGGCGATCATTCCAAGGCATCATTAGGCACTACTGATAAGAGTCTGAACCATGAATCTCTCATTGATGGGGCAGTGAATGCAGCTCGGGGTGCCCACACAGTGCTTGCAGAAGCTGTGAAGGAGTCTGCAGAGAGGTTTGCTGGTTTGTCTACCGGCGCAAACACGGTGTAATTGTGAACTTGATTTATGCACATGTGGCGTTGTTCAATATCATATATCCTTCACATTTTAGCACCTAATACAATGCGCTCCCACTATGCCTCCCTTTCCACCAACCTCTTATAACTTCGTATTTCCTCGTGCTGTGCGGTTTTATCTGCGAACTGCCATCCATGATCATTCCACGGCGACGATGTCATTGCTTGGTGAATCAGTTACCAAGGGAATCACATCTCTTCATCTCTTCATCTTGTGGTCTTCTACATCTTCTATAAATTCTGCCTCCTTTCCCTCTCCTCTTCTCTCTTTCTCCCAACCAACCTTCTTCTACAACCCTCCCAACCGGACCAAACAAGGTCTTCGTCAAGTCAAGTCATACCACCTTGTCTCTCTACCCAATACTCCTAATACCTCATCCTCAACTGCTCTTCGTCCACCGTAAAAATGACTAAGCCAAATCCCAACGACACTATCGTGTTCCTCTACATGTGCCTCCTGTATTCTGACTTCAGAGTTGTAAGTCTCCCTTCTACTTGGTGCTCATCTTCCCTCACATACTAACATGCCCATCAGGTCGACTGGAAGGCTTTCAGCGAGGCCACCAACCTCAACAATGGGGCCGCGCGCATGCGTTACCACCGTCTGAAGAAGAACCTTGATGCCGTCATCAAAAATGGCAAATATGACTTGAGCATTGGTTCCGCCACCACCCCGACCAAGAAGCATGCTTTGGACATGATCACTGCTACCGACAAAGAAGGCAGTGTTGAGCCTAACAGCCCTACCATCGAACACTCTAGTGGAGTCGTCAGCATCGCCAATCTTCTTAACCCGGCATCCCCCAAGCGCAAGATGGCGGATGAGATTGATGATGACTCCGAAGCCTCGACCATCATTGATACCAGCTTCCGCTTCATGCCCATCTACGCTCCTGTTACGCGTTCCCCCAGCTCCCAGGGTCAGATGCCGGCCGCGAAGAAGGCTAAGAAGGAGGAGTGAGGAATCGGTGTTCATTGCTTGCTTGCTTGCTCACCATATGGGAGCTCAGAGAGTCGGTATTGAAATTTAGTTTACGGAGAGGTGACCGGCTCCTTTTTTTTTCGTTTTTCTGTTTCTTGTGTTTCCCTTGCTTGGGGAGTTAGTAGGTTAACTGGAATCTGGACGGAAATCGGGCGTTGGGGCGTTTGTATATATTATATCTCGGGCCTTTCTCGGTTGTTCGGCTGAGATGGGACTGGCTTCCAAGTGCCCTTAGTTGAATGAAGGATTTCTCGTCATACATCGGGTTTCTAACCGTAAACAGGGGGCGTAGGCTAACCTCGTAGTAGGCTAGGAGGAATTATTATTACGTGCCATTGTCTGAGGGTCTCCGATTTTGTGTTTTTATGACTACTGTATTTCACCCCAGGAATTCCGCCGTAGTATGATCGTGATCTCCGATACTTGCTATAGTTATCCTGCAACATGAGTTGAATGGAAACCGGTAGTATGGTATATTTGCCCTACCAATCACCGTTCTATAGGCGATTATCAGAGAAAAGTCACTGAAAATGGCTGGTTATACTGATATCATCATATTAGTAGTTAGTAGAGAAAGTGTGTGCCATCTTGGTCAGTAGTATTTAAATTTCTCTACTGGACTGTGTGTATACAGAGCGGAGGTCGATATAGTAAGCTTACTTACAGACGTGCACAACATGGATTCCACCTATGACCTAGCTTGAAGGAAGACTCTATAATGCATGAAATAATACGCCACAGGCAGATTAACGCAATCCCACATAGTCACAATGCCACTTACAATGCTGATTGTCTTCCCCCCACAACCTTGAAGCACGTACATATAACAGAGCATCATATGATCATACGATCTTGTGGTTATACTTTGGTAGAAACCACACAATCACCGCCACCAGGAACAGGGCCCTTGTACTAAATTAGTCGATAGATTGAGGGGCAGAAGTGAAGCGTGGATGATAATCAATCCCAGTGCGTTAGCGTCCATCAATCACATTTGTGTGATCGGAGCCGACAACTCTAGTAGGTTAGTGGTCCGGTTTAAGCATCATTTAGGCGCAATTGTAAGGGCCACTTTTTTTTCGTTTTTTTTTTTTTTTTTTTTTTTTTTTTTTTTTTTACTTTCCCCCCTCGT